TGTATCAGAGGGGTAGCCATGTTAGTCTGGATCTGTAAAAAGCAACAAAGAGTCCTGTGGCACCTTTAAGACTAACAGATGTATTGGAGCATAAGCTTTCGTGGGTGAATACCCACTTCGTCAGACGCATGAGACGAAGTGGGTATTCACCCAGAAAGCTTATGCTCCAATACATCTGTTAGTCTATAAGGTGCCACAGGACTCTTTGTTGCTTTTTACAGATCCAGACTAACATGGCTACCCCTCTGATACATGTTCCTTTGAGATGTAATCTGTCAACGTACCTATGGACTGGACACTATACACTCTTAATGCCTCACTTGGTCCTGTGGCCACTGGCACTGCTAGTACCAGGGGAAGGATCCATGGTTCATCAAGCTTGCACCTTTTCTCAGCATAACAGACCCTTGAGTAGCACCTAACCGTGCACCAATCTACTCCCTTTATTTCTGTCTAGCATCTTATTTGTTCTGAACCCAGGCACTTCCCCACCTCGAGTTTCCTTTAGTCCTACCTGTAGCTCCAGTATTAGGAAGCTGCCATACCTTAAGCCATACTATATCATGCCTTTGATACATGAGGATGGTTCATGATTTTTCCCATTTAGTTGATTGCTGCTTCCACTTCCCATAACAGCTGTCCTGTTATCCTAGCGTACCGAACAGCCTTTTAAATCCTCCCCTATACCCCCATTCTGTTGTTTATGTAACTTTGTTAACAGGTTTTGTAATTTAAGTCTCATTTTCAGGTTTTCCTCCCACAATACTGTGATATCTATATGATTCCATGTGGAAGTTCCCACACCCCAACTCCTAATACTGTTCCTATATCTCTTTTATCTTTCTTCATCTTTCTCTTTCCCTTCTCAGGCCACCAAATTTCCCCCTTTTCCACCCCATCCATTGATTGTCTGAAATTTGGTACACCACTTTTGCTAGCATTTGCATATAGAAATGCACATATTTTGCATGACAGAGCTTCTGTGCTAATGTAAAAATGGTTAAATTCAATACTACAGGTATCTTTTGGTACTGTACATTATTATACATAATCTGATGTTCAGGATTTATCACTAGTCCATTGTCGGGTCCCACTTCTCTTTCAGGCATGTTTCATCACCTTGCTTCAATTCTGGAGTAGGAAGCATTGTTACTCCAGTGTGTTCAGGAGTGGTGATGGTACTCTGCCAGTCCTTCCTCACATTCCGAGAGAAGGTCCAAGTCTCAGTCACTTTGCTGGCATGATATAGGTGGTACTTCAACGATCTGCTGAAGTCACTGTAATATGTCCCATGTGTGTTAACTGTGCCCTATAAATGGTTAGGTTATCCATTACCATCCATTACCATCCCATGTAACACACTGCCCCATCTAGGTCCGCCAGTCCAAGTACCTGCTCCCGAGAGTTGCTTGTGCTGCAGCTTCCGCCACCTTGGCTGTGGTCCAGTCTGCACCAGAACAGTGCAGACTTTCCTGCATGATTACCCAGGAGCCAGAAGGCTAAAGTGGCATTCTCCCCTCGTGCATTTTCATCACCTTCTTCCTCTGCTGGATCACGAATTCCACAGACCCCCAGGCAGGGCATGTTATGCCTCCCACGATGGTCAACACCTGAAAAAGAAAACAATTATTCTCACTTCCCTCTTTTTGCATCAGTGGATTCCCTTCTGTCCTGCTCTCTGTACAGTTTCAGCTGCATAGCATGCAACCATCGATACACCACCCTTTACCTGATGGACTAGTCTTGTCCATTACATAGCAGTGACCCTCCCAACTGGCTTTTGGAAATGGCCTTTTACCTGAGACATGCTGCACAAGTACCTGATCTCGCACTTCATACTCCTCACCAGACGCTTGGTCACCAGAATATCTTTTCATTTTTCGATGGGCTTCCCCTAGGTTTCCTGCCACCATCTTATGTCTATCTTGTATATGCCATACCAATTCCTTGGCCCACT